GGGGGGGGGGGGGCTACATATACATTTCTGTGAGCTTCCCGAGAGCAAGCGTGGGATCTCATTCATTTTACAACACTTGGTTCCTACCCGGGGCCCAGCATAGTGTGTGCTTAGAAAATATCCCTTCTTGTTGAGAACCTTAAAGGAAGCATTAAAGATCTCTGAAAGCCTCAGTGAGCCTGCAGACAGAACTCAGACCCTGTACTCCCAGTGGAGCCCTGGGAACAAACTGGAGCCAGTTCAGTCTCACTTTGAATGTCATTCCAACAAATCTGATGGCCGGGTAACTTCGGGACCGCTAAGGGAGGTGGTGGTTAATAGTGGCCCAATAGTGGGCAGCAAGGAGTGAAGGCCGCTCCTCCTGTAGCTGCTTCCCTTCCCTCCCTGCCTAGTCCTGCTCTCTAACGCAGGCTCACACCACCTTTTCAGTGTCCCAGTGTTCATCTTCCAGATGCAAATTAGAAAAATATGGAGGAAGTCCATGTGACTTCGGTTTGTTTCTAATTATAAAAGTAATTCACACTTATTATAGAAACCTTCAGAGGTACTGAAAAGAATAAAGAAGAAATAAATGTCATCCCAGATCCCATAACCGAAAGCTGACTTCTGTCATTATCTAGGGGTTTTTTTGGTCCTTTCTGTGCATATCTTAGCTATAACTAAGATTATTCACATTTATGATATTTTTTTAACTGAAACATCTTCATCATCACAGTCACCAGCAGCAGCAGCCACTCCTGTTTATCGCACACTTTCTACAAGCCTCTCCCCAGGACATGCTTAATGACATTGCATTTCTGATAGTGGCCCCTTGCTCACCTCACTCATCGCTATTGCCCAATGATGAGTGGGTTGTCTTTGCAAAAAGCTGGAGATTTTTGTAATTTATCTCCTCTGCAAAAGAAATGTCGGAGAAATTGCTGCTGAACTTAACGGCCTCTGCAGCAGACGTTTTAAGTAGGAGAAGTATGTGTAAACAGAGGGTTTCCACACAGCAAAAACGTTTGGCTAGGTGATAAACATGTTTTTATGTTTCTACCTTGTGACACTATTTTAGGTCTTTGATAGGATGGACCATTGCTTTTTGTTAAATATATCTCGGCTGGCTTGTTTCCACTTTCTGCTTGCTTGGAGTTCATGTGGCCCGTGATGCTGTGAGTTGTACCCACTGTTCTGGGTGGCACCAGACAGGAGGTTAGAAATGATACTGAGCCAAAAGAAACCCATATTTCCACAGTTCTGAAGCATATGAGCTTGCTGTGCATCACAGGTACACAAGCCTATCTACCCCCCCACCCAACGCCCATTATCTGAGATCTGCCTCCAGGGCTGGGGGTGGAGTCTGAGACAGGAGTAGGAGCCTGATTAAAAGGCACTAAGTATTTCCTCTCCCCAGCTCTGGAGTTTAGCCCAGGGTCTGGCTTTTCAAACTTGAGATAGGAGAATTGACTTAGGGGGAACTAAAAATGAATTAAATTTCCCTTGGAACACCCTCACCTTTTTTATGCCTGCTGCCTTAGCAACTCTAGGCAAGTATACTGACTTCCACAATAGCCACTTACCTACTGACCCCGGTCCAGTAGTCAGGTATTGGAATTCACATGACTGCCAGTCACAGCCAGAACGAGAGCCAACAGGCTGGTTAACAAAAACGCCGTGGGGTGGTTCAGGGTGACTTTAGCACCTGGGTCATCTTCACCCCGCTCCCCCCAGCCTTGGCCACCCCTCCAGATGAACACAACATCAGCATAACAACTGCCAGTGAAGGTACAGCGAGATGTGTCTCAGTCGCAATACTTACCCTCCACCCCTCCGCTAAGCTGCTCATCCCACCTGAGCCCTTCCCATGTAGCGAATTCCGATCTCCATTGCTCTCCCACGCTCCTCCCACTCAACTCCGCCTCATCCCCATGTAAACCGAGGCCCTTCGTTAGACAGCCTTGCTGTATTTAGTTTTCTGTTGGCTTATATTGGCCAACCTTAAGAGTTGTTGTTTGGGTTTTGTTTTTGTGGGTGTGGATCCTGTTATTCCCTCTCACTTTTAAATTCTTGCTTGTCCTGAACAGAGAGAGACGTTTCATAGATACAGGGGATTTTTTTTCCCCCTAATAATTAACATCTTAAAATCAGGACTGGGAGGTGATAAGTTGTAGTGTCTTCTGATCCGCATGGGCCTGATTAATCTAGTGACGAATAGGTGAGCAAGCAAGAACACACACAGTCTTTGCTTACAGCTCAGCTGTAACACTTGGAGCAAAGCTGGTGACATTTAAAACCACAAATAAAGATGGGTTCTTTGTGTACACATCCTCTGTGAATTGGTAAAATACCAATTTCCTTACAAAATGACATCCCACCCTCCCTCCTACCTCAGAGAAGGCTCATCACCAGCCCTGATGGCACTCGTCCTGCGGGTCTTAGTTATATGCCACTTGCTCAGAGAGACCTCCCCTGACCCTGAGCAGATGACTGGATCTCATGGCTTCCTCCACTTTTCCTCCACAGGATTTACCAGAATTTGTAAATATGCTTGTTTACATGACTTTTGGGTTTGTTTTTTTCTTTTTAAGTAATGTGTATCTCCCTCACCATACTCTGTATGGGTAGAGGCTGTGTCTATTTTTCGCCTGTTTACTCTGTTGGGTTCCCAGCACCTAATTTAACACCCAGCTAACCTGGGACTCACGAATGTTAGTGGGAGGAAATCCATGGATTTTGAGGTTGCTGAAACAAAGCATTTAACACTGTCAGTCTCAGAGACATCACTTTCTAATTGAGACTGAAGCATTTCTTCGTCGAGCACTCCTAATTCCCCAGCACCTGATTCACAACACTGCACAGCACTTAGTACACAGTATCAGTCACTGTTTAAAGAGCCCTTTTCGCCTGCTGGGTTGAGAGCTCCTTCCAGGAGAGACAGCATCTCCTTGTCTTGACCTTCCCACTCCCAGCTCAGGAATCTTCTTATGGACTGAATGATATTTCAGATGTTGGGGCTACTTTGAGGCTGTCATTAGATGGCTGTTGGCTGATTTGGCCAAAGCATGTTCGTTTTTCTGTGGTTGTTCCCTGCCCAGGCGTGATGGCTATAGCATTATTAGATGTCCCTTACTTCCTGTGATTAACCCTGCATGTTCCAGGAGAAAGGCATGTAGCTCTCTTCCAGCTTATAAAACCCTACGATTTGGGTAGGGCTAGCATCAGTGTCCTCACTTTACTAATGCTGAAGGTCTAAAAAAATAAAGCTCAAGGTTACATGGCATTTGAGGTGCGGAGTTAGAACTAGACCCAAAGGCTTCCGATGCCTTCTCTGCTTTTTACTTAATGTAGAAATTCAAGGCTGTGTGGAATTCCTTAAAGGAGATCCAGGTAGTACTCCCTACCTCCTCTCAGAGATCTAATGCCAGCAGAGCCACCCTGCTTTGCCCAGACCCCCTGCCAGGATGCTTCCTTGAGTTCCTCCACCTGACAGCCTCTTCTCCCCAGGCAGCTGCCCAAGGTAACCCGATGCTGACTGGGTGCTCTCTTGTGCTTGTACCCAGGACCGGCTGTTCTTTGTGATGGAGTTTGTAAACGGAGGTGACTTGATGTTCCACATTCAGAAGTCTCGCCGCTTTGATGAAGCACGAGCTCGTTTCTATGCGGCAGAAATCATTTCGGCGCTCATGTTCCTACACGAGAAGGGCATCATCTACAGGTGAGTTCTGGTTGCTTGCAACTCCTCCCGCAATTCATAACCTGTTCCCTCTCCTGGCTTAATCCGGCCTTCCATTTCTCATGATGTTGAAATCTTTGGGGAATTCAACTCACAAAGGTTTGAGCAACCATTAGAATATATAATGTAGTGATCAACATTCCTGCAAAGTAAAACTTGCGTCCACGTGGTATTCGGAAAATAGGCTTGAGAGGCTGAGAAGAGACTGTCCATGTGTTTGCTCAGCTGGGGTTTGCTAAGGGCCTGTTATAGCCAAATCCTGCAAGGTGCGGAACACATTGTTGCGCGCTCTCTTTTTTTTTTTCTGTTTTAATGTTAGAAACGATTCATTGCATTTTTAAAATCCATGCCTAAACAGATGAGTGAGGATTACTATTGCCCTGAGTTGCTGTAACTAGAATCATAGTCAGATAAGGTGGCGGCTCACCAGTCAAGACTCTAGGAGGTGAACTATCGCTGGGCAACGTCCTGCTTGATGATATTTCTTATTTGGAGCCTCCTCCCAAATATTGGCTCCACTTCATGACGTACAACCCTGTGGTCATAATACATGGAAAGGGCTTGAAATCTGGTTGATGTTGTTAGAGCTCAAGGAGAATCAAATGAAACTTTAGTCAGACAGAAGGTTAGGTAAGGTGGGAAATGTAATCGTGGGTGTCAGGCAATTGTTACTCTTCAATTTTCCTGTTTTCCCTGCTGCCACCTTCATCCTACTCTTTAAATCAAATTATAACTTTGTTGCCATGTGTACTCTTATTTCCTCTTGAGATGCAGTTTTTGCTGTCTTTTGAGAAAAGTTCTCTCTCTCATAGTAGGAGCGTGAATTTCGACATCAAGAATTTCCTGATTGAACTTTGCTATTCGTTAGCCTTGCTATGTGCTATTCCTTTTGCGAGCTCATGACAGAACTGACATCATTATCAAAGTGTAAGAGACTTTAACTACAGGGAATCGTCTCAAATACCCCAAGAGTCAGAATAGAAAGGAGGAGGGAGACTGGTAAGGTTGCAGCAGGATGGCGGGCGATGCAGGAGAGACGTGGGAAGCGAAGGAGGAGCACAGGCCCTGCACAGAAATGCGCTGTAGTCCATCTCGGGCCGAGTGCGGAAGCCTCGGCTGGGTGTCCCCACGCCCGCTGTGAGGTGGCGGAGGGTGCAGAGTTGGAGCCGGGCTGCGCGACCTCAGGGACTCACCCTCGAAGGTCCCCGGGAATCTCTGCTCGTTCTTGGGTCGGGGGCTACCCCAGGCTACGTTAGACAGGCCCGGCGGGGAGCTTTCCTAACCAGGCACCACGTTCTCCTGGAGGCTCTCCCACGGACTTGCCCTGTCTCAGCGTCCTGCCCAGCGCAGGGTTGGCAGTAGTCGCTGACACAACCTCTGATGGCGGAGGGAGTTCAGGGTCCTCCCTGGTGCTGGTGTCAGACTCTGGGCCTGAGATCATTTTTGTGCTCCAGTCTGTGGCTTCTCCATCCATCTCTGCTCTGTCTACCCCAGAGAGAGCCTTCCCCATATTTAATTTTTAGGAACAGTAACTTCCCTACTAGAGGGGAATTCTGTTGTAAACCAAAGTAAGAATAACAATGGCAACAGGAGCTAAACTGAGCACTTGATACAGGCTCAGCACCGTCCCTGCCTTTCCCCCTGGATCTTCCTAACTTATCATATAACAGTACTATTATTCGTGTTGTTTAGATGAATGACTATGCCTAAAAAAGGCTTCATAACCAGACCACTAACTGGTAGTGAAGCCAGAATTCGAACTATGTTTTTAAGCCCTGGGCTACACTGTCCCCTCAGGAGAGAATTACATACTTCCAGTACCACTAACACATGGCTTCTTATGTCCCTTCTGGTGATCAGGCAGCTTTCATTCATGAAAATGAGGCAGAGCGGGTATCTTAGCCCATTCGGGCTGCTATAAGAAAATACCACAGACTGGGTGGCTTATAAACAACAATTTACTTCGCACAGTTCTGGAGGCTGAAAGTCTGAGATCAAGGTGCCAGCCTTGATTCGGTATCTGGTGACAGCAGTTCTTTTTGCTGTGTCCTCACATGGCAGAAGGGGCTAGGGATCTCTCTTGAGCCTCTTCTATAAGGGCACTAATTCTATTTATGAGATCCCCACCCTCATGACCTAAGCACCCCTCAAAGGCCAACCTCCTAATACCACCATCTTTGGGGGTGAATTTCAATATATGAATTTGGGGGGTGGACACAAACATTTAGATCACAGCAGTGGGGAAAAGCTGTAAGGCCTAAATTCGTTTCCTTGAATACTTGGGGGCTTCACTTAAACGCCGTGTCGCCTCGCTGTGAGGCCGCAGGCTTGCTTTCCTGTGTGGGATATGCCCACCTCTGCATCTACACATTTCGTGTCTCGCAGTGTAGGGGATGGGCACTAACTTGACATGGTTTCTGGTGAAGCGGTGTCAGCCCACATCCTGAGAAGCTTTATTTCAGTTCTTGGTACCTGTGGTTCAGTTCTGAGAATGTATTTTAATTTACTCTTTGTCTTGAACCCCATGCGCAGGTTCTAACTGCCCTGGTTGACTTTGAAGGTAGCACATTTCATTAAGATAGATGCAAATGCTGTTTTCGTCCTGTGGATTTATGTCACAGGACAGTTGAATTCCATTCAGGGTACTGGCCTGAGAGTGGAGTCTTAACGATAAGCCTTTGAAAGCCAAGTCCTTGGAGTTTCCACACAGTAAAGGGCACATTGGTGTCACAGAGGGTGCGAATTTGATCCAGAAAGCACAGTGAGAAACGTGGGGGCACCAGACAGCCTCGTTTACCATACATGTCCCAGGATTAAATGATCAGAGCATTAATGATATCTCTGGATGGTGTCTCTGACCTATCCAAATAGAGTTGATGTTTGTTTAATGGGAAGATTTGGGGGGAGGGGTTGACAGTGTTTATTTTCCAGTAAATTAAAAGATGGTACCATCTGCAAGCTATTGTCCAGCAGGACTTTCGAAGGTAACATGTTAGGCTCCCTTTAACATGACTTTTTTCTCTCTCTTAGCCGACCGTGCCTATAAGAGAGGAGACAGGCCAGTTACATTTCTGTGCTTTTCCCCTTGGTTCTGACCCCAATTCTCAAATGTGTTTGTTCACTTGCATTTCATGAAGGAACAGAAGCCTAGTTCCCAGGAGATACGTCAAGAGAAAGGTCTGCCCCATGAGCTTAAGTTGGAAGGTTTGGAGCCTGCTGTGGGCAGAGATCAAGGAGAAGGCTGGAAGTCAGCAGTCAATGAGTCACTTTGCTAAGGGAAAAAAAGACTATTCATCCCTTGGTCCTGGGCTTGTTGGCTGATTGGGAGCCCAGATAATGCTCATGAATAATCTTACATGGGCATTGACTTTTTTCCAGAGTCCAACCCTGCAGAAAAGTTAGGGAGATAAAGGGGCATGCATCCCATGTACCTGCCCTCCCGCGATGGGCTCATGTTTCATGAGCTGTATTCACAGGGAACTGAGCCATCACTGACATTTCAAACCGAACCGCTGACGCCAGGCAGCACACATTGGACTTGCTATTGTGGACAAAGGGTAGATGTATCTCAGATTTGTCAAGTGGGGAAGACGCTCTAGATGAGCGCAGTTGGTTTCATTCTTCCTCATCGCATTACACTTGAATGCACAGAGCATTTCAACACACAATTTTCAACTCATGAGTCTGACCACTTTGTGCCTTAGGCAGTTCTTGGCATGCTCGCTTCTTAGGTACATGATAATCAATATTTAATCCTAAAGCTTGTAGAGATGTTTATAACTTTATTTGAGCCAGACTGACAATTATGGGGAAGCACAATTTCAATGGGTTGAGGAACTGCTCCAGGGAATGGCAGTTTTACAGTTTATTTTATAGATTAAGATAAGAGGAGGAGAGTAAGGAGGGTTGGATGAAATCCACTGGCGGTAGATTAGGGAGGCAGGAGAAAGCAAAGCCGGGACATCTCTGGGATCAGATAAACAATAAAATGGAGGGACGTGTACTTTCACATTGGCGAGTATAGCATAGTTAACAATGAGCATTCACAGCACATAGAGATGGTGTTCCGGGAACAAGACAACCATGAGGGGCTCTGTGGTCTGGTGCTCTGGTGTGGTGGGTGTACCCTGAGGGGTCTGGAAAAGGAGACTGACCTCCCAAAGGTATGTTATCTTGGATGCAAAAAGACAATAGACTGACTTAAGGTAGAGATTGACCTTTGTCAAGGAAGCTACAGGCCTAGAGTGTGACTACCTGCCATGATCTTCATCGGCTTTTCGTTAGGAATTTTTATGTTCAGACCATTCTCTGTGGTTACTTTCGGTCTCTGAGTTTGTAGGGCCCTCCATGTGGCTTCTCTTGAGCTTGTCAGCTTTAGCCTGTGACCCCTTTTCCATCCACAAGCTCCAGGTGCTGACTGTGGGAATTTGCTCTCAATTTCTCGACGTGGAACTGGCCCACAGACGCTGACTACTAGACCGGACATATTATCTTGTACTGTATACTTATGTAGCACAGTGCTTTTAAAGAAAACCACCTTTGAAATCTCTTCTAATCGAGAAAACAATCTCCACCTAATCTGACATTTTTTAAATTCAGAATTTGAGAAGATTAGCAGTATCCCTCCAAGATAGGTTATGTTAAGCTAGGCTCTGAACACAACTGTTGGATCTGTGTGAACATACCAGTCTCTGATATAATCTGACTCTTGTTTATCATGGATATCATAAGGGACCATCAGGTGCTTGCTGAGTCCAGATACCTGTGTGTTCTGAAATTAGCTGAGCATAGCTTTGCTGGGAGAGCCCACTGTGAGGCAGCCTCTGTGAGCATTGCTTTCGTGCCTAAGAATTCACAAGTCATCTGTATCCAAATCAGTTTGCGTGTTGGGTCAGTGATGAATATCACATGCTTGCGTCGTTGCTCTCTGATATCTTTCTCTCCCCCTCTCGAGAACTGTGGCAACATCTTTCTGATTCCCA